GTGCTAATGTGAAGGATAATGTTTTTTGCTCTGTTTTTAATAGAGTTTTACGGAAATGTTTTACAGTTCTAAAATGGTTGCTTTGAAAGTAAACTGTTGGTTGTGAAATCAGTGGCCCATGTTTCCATGTACTCTTCAGATTCCTTCATCCTAATTAAGTTCACTTTCATAGTTGAAGTCTTTCATTCAATTTACAGCTACAGAGAAATCATCTGACGTCCAAAGGGGTTTGTGTTCTGATATACAGTATTTATACGGATGATGTAGGCCCAATAAAAAGGTTTGAATCACCAGTGTTTCCTGACAAATTAAAGGCAAGATGGGACCAGAAATGAAGGTGGAAGGGCATGTACTAACAAAGCCTGCCTTGCCACACTGCTGTCTTGATGTAGCTCATCTTTGCCCTGAAGGAATTTTATTATCCTGTGGTGAGCAGCAATGAAAGATGTGCTCAAAAATCAAGCCTTTTAGGAAAAGATAACCTGGTTTGTTTCCTTCGTAATGTAACAGAAGAGTATGGGGGAGTATATTTCTGTGTTTATATATTATCATTCTGAGCTGTGGTTTCGAAAGATTTTAAAAAAATACACTGACCTTGTTTGACAAAATATTAAATTCTATAATTGTATCTAGAGAAAAGGATTATATTACTCTTGATATTTTAAAGAATGTCTTTTCTTTGAGGAGAAAGTTTTTTTCTCTTACCCCCTCCTTTTTTTTCATCTCGCTGAACACAATGTCAAAACCTTGCTTTGCAGGGGCTATAGTGGGCTGCTCAGAACTATATTTAGAACAATGCTGCATCAGATTTATAGAGAGAGAGAGAGAGAGAGAGAGAGAGAGACCTATGTGGAGAGGTGTTCTTTAAAATCACCATGGAGCAAACAGCACTGCCCTGTATAATCAGGATGTACTAACTGCTCTTTATCATCACTTTTATATATATATATAAAAGTCTCAAAGCAAAAATAACCAATATATTTTTGACATTTTAAACAAAGGATGTAGCCTTGACAAACATTGTCCACATTTTGCAAAGGAGGGAAGGAAGGAATGTATGTGAAATCATTTATTAACTAATACATCTGTTACTCTAAAAAACACTGTGATTTCAGGAGATCAATGGGGGAGGGCTTTTTTAAACAGTTCCATAGCACTTCAAAAATCATTTTTGAAACTCAAACCAGTTTCAAGGTGGTTGAAGAGAAATGTAAGACTAATACTTCTCTTGCTGCTTCAGAAAGACAGAAAGTTTCACAATTCTTCAGATTTGAGCCATTTATAGTCTGATATGCAAATACTTATTTCCTTGTCTTCCAGTGTTATCCCACTAGGCATATAAATCTTTCAGGGCTCCAGAGACATCAAATAAATGAATAAAGTCGTATTACCTCCCAACTCACTAAATACCACACAATGACCAAATTACATGATAAATTTAACACACAATTATCAGCTAAGATATATAGGGAACAGTTACATGTCAGAAAAAAACTGGTTTTGAATGACTGAAACTGATTTTTTAAAATTCTGACTATACAATGCATCAGGAAGCATGGAATTTGTCCCCCTTCAGGAAGCATGCTCTTTTGGTTGGAAAGCAAGGTGTTGAGATGGTAGTTTATTTTAATTCACTTGTGAAATGGATTTATTTTGAATCATTTTGGCTAATTTAAATGCCTCTGTTTGTGTAAATTGTGTCTTTGGGGATTGTCAAGTAAGGGATGCCAGGATCACAGGTTTAGGGCTGCAAGGAATTATTGCAGTCTGACCTGTTTTATTTAATTTTTTAAATATATCTGTAAATATTGATCTAGCACTATCCCACTTTGAAAGACATTAAAAAATGAAAGAAATATTTGAAATAAAACTGTCAGTGGTGAGTCTTTGTAAGAGGCATGAGTGCTTGCATATGTCAGAGCATCTGTGCTCTCACTTGCTTCATTCCTTCTGCTTCATTCCCACTGCTTGCAATCAAAGCTGGAAGGAATCAGAAAGTTTGGGTGGGGGAAAGCTCTCCTTTCTTCACACGCCTAGAAGCTGCTAATCTTGTCAATTTCTCTGGTCAGTTTCTCTTTGCCACTTACTGTGGTGTGTGTGTGTGTGCACGTGCGTGTGCGCCTGTGTGCATGCATGTGTGCACATGCACACACAGAGACATGTCCATGTAAGTGGATTGGGCTGCAGGAAAACCTTACTCCAATCTGTGTTTTTTCCCTATTTGCAATATTCATTTAGTGCTATGCCAGATTGAAGGAAATATTAAAAGTATGAAAAATAACACCACAGCAGCAGCAAGTTGCTGTGAGAGGCAGCCCTCATGAGGGTGTGTGAGCACAGGAAAAAGCCTCAAATACAGTGATTTCAAAAGCCCATGTAGCCATCTCGATCGATATACAAAAAGGTTTTTTAAAAGGATGAAAAGTATTCCCAAGAGGATGTATTACATGACTGCCACATGACTTCAAACTAAACTCAAAAAACCAATACATATCAAATTTATTTTCAAAATGTAACCCCACCCAAATACTGTCTATTTATCGTAACATAGATTTGTGTCAATCTGTATCTGGCAACAAACTTAGGTTTTTTTAAAAAAATTGGCCATTTGGAATCTAGCATATATATACTAATACTAAGTGCCAAGTGTCTGTCTGTCTGTCTGTCTGTCTGTCTGTCTGTCTGTCTGGAGAGAGAGAGAGAGAGAGAGAGAGAGAGAGAGTATCCTTACACAGGAATCTTCAGAGGGTTTTTTTTTTTTCAAAAGAAGCCTTATGACTGCCTCTTTCAGGCAGAATGGGATTTAAACCTTGAGTCATACTGTACAGGCATTCACCACTGTCCTTACCCACTCAGGTCATCCTCTCTTGGTTGCTTTTATAAGCCAAAAAGGGCAAGGGCAACTTGTGGTTGGTTTCACTCTCCAAGGTTTCACCTCTCCATATCCTCACCCTGCACATACCAGCAAGTACCAAAAAGTTACATTCACAAGATCTGCATCAAATGCATCATCTAAATCAGAGCGGATCTGAGTGATCTTGTCTACAAAGTATTCTGCCAAATCTTTTGTCTACTCACTGAAATATGCAGACAAAAGACTGATGCATATTTCAGTGATTCAAAGTGTTGTATCTGAGGAATACAGATACCCACGAGTCTATTACTGAATCAATTAAAACAAGCAACAACGAACTCCCAGCAAATCATCTCTATAAAAACAATGTGCCACCAATGCATACATGGTTGCTTAAAAGTCTGATGTAACACATATACTATACATTGAGCAGGGGTATCATGTATTTTTAAAAGAAAGAGCCAATCACAAAAGCCATTCCAGATGAACTGCTAGCACCTCCTCCCCGCAGTATGTGTAAAACAACTGTTGCTCAGTATTTCACTGATATTAAGGAAGGGCACTGATCATCCTGGCCTCAAGTAACAGAAGAAAAAGGATTTATACTCTTTCTGCAAAGAAAGAAATGTTTCTTGTGGATTTAGAGTTTGGAATTAGAAGGAATAGAGTTTTGGAGATGTTCCCTATACTCATAAATGAGAAAAGTCTCTCTCTCTCTCTCTCTCTCTCTCTGCTGTAGCTTCAGAAATCCCACAACCAATGTGAACTGCTGGATAGCTCAGTAGTTTAGGCATTTAGCTGTAGAGCCAAAGGTTGGGAGTTCAATTCTCCATGGTACCTCCTTGACACAGGCTGGACTTGATGACCCATAAGGTCCCTTCCAGCTCGCCAGTTTGATGATGATGATGATGTAGGCACTAACAAATCAAAATATCCATGACAACTTGGTGGGGGTGGCACTGGCAGAGAGAATTCTGTTCATCATCGTTCTATAGCACAAACGATTTCTGTACTGACAGCATCTGGCTGGTTCAATTATGGATGCACAACATCCATGCATAAACCAGTGTCTGGAAAGGAACCACAACTGGTTAATTGTTCTCTTTCTTAAATGTAAATGAAAGTCTTTCACTTTTGCAGTAGACAGATACAGAGCTGCAAGTGGGAGGAAATAAAACTTGCTGCTTCCCTATCTCAGGTGACTTGGGCCCAATGCTGGGGCAGTAGCATAGTGAAAGTGATTCCAAAAGATCTCCTGTATGGAGAATTAGTGCAGGGAAATCGCCCCAGAGGGAGACCACAGCTGCGACACAAGGATATCTGCAAGCGGGATCTGAGGGCCTTAGGAATCGACCTCAACAGATTGAAAACCTTGATGTCTGAGCGTTCAGCCTGGAGGCAGGCATTGCATCACGGCCTCTCCCAATTTGAAGAGGCACTTGTTCAGCAGGATGAGGCAAAGAGGCAGTCCTGAAACCAGCCAAATCGGGGAGCTGGACAGGGGACAGATTGTATTTGTCTTGTGGAAGGGATGGCCACTCTCAAACTGGCCTTTTCAGCCACACTAGACACTGTTCCAAGTCCTCCATATAGAACACATTACCACAGTCTCTTGAGACTGAAAGATGTCTACATTGAGTACAGTATAGTGAAGCCAGGCCTCACATGGTCAAAGCCCTTGGATTTTTTTAGTAGCATGGATTATAGCATGTGCTTGGAGAGAAATGGATTCTCCCAGAACAATATGTATATCATTGCAAGCCATCTCTGTTCTAATGTCAACTTTTAGTCTTGGTTTCCTCTTGGATGGGCAACTAAAAGCCATGACCTTAGTAAACTATTAGCTCTTTCTGTTGATATTCATGAATGATATGAATTTTTAGATTATCTTTATGGGGCTGAGTACCTATGGGACCTGGCACAATCAGCATCTGCTCTTCCAAATTTACCACTAGTCTCTTGCATTAGGAATAAGAAATAGACTCTCCTTGCCCTAATCTATCCAGGTATATAATCATGCTTTATTTTCTTCCATTGACATGAACGGTCCCCTCAATATCTGTGGGAGAAAGTTGACACATGCTGTCACAATGATGGGCAATGTGTTAATCTGAAACTTTGATCACCATCCGGAGATCTCTCAGCTCCAGGCAGAATCTCACACAACCCAAAGAAAATGGAACCTGGCATGAAATACAAGCATAAGTTACAAACAAATAAACATAGAGAACATACACAATATCTCAAAATAATGTTTTAGTCTTTCCACAGCTGACTGGTTCTATATTCCTATTCTCCATTATCCCATAAAAACACAATTTTCTAGCTAGAAGCAGCTCATATCCCTCAAGGATATTTTTGCTGCACAAACCATGATTTGCCCTTCCATTTTCCTATTGTCTTGGCCCAAAGCATCTTCTGGACATCTCTCTGTCTACTATGAGTACACTAGGAGGGAGGGAGGAGGGTGCATAAGATCAGAGGGTGTGAGAAAATACCTTCTCTTTTAGCTTCCTCCTGCTCCTCTGTCCCTCCCTCATTCTTTTTGTTTCTCTGATCTTGCCAGCACAAGTCCAGCCATCATATGCCTGCTGGATTTCCGCCTTCCACTGACCTACATCATTTTTATTGGCTTTCACTCACTCAGGCTCATAACACCAATCTTCTGTCTCAACCTCATTAGTGTTTTCATATCTTTGTGGCTTCACTTTTTATGCCATCTGTTACATCCTGTGTGACTCATCACTGGAACAATAATAACAACAGCAAAAAAAAAACACCTTCTCATGCTAAAGTAACCTCAGCAAATTGTCTGCTCTGATGTAAAAGTGGGGAAAGAGCACAGCTTAATACAAAGGGGGTGGGAAATCAACATCCCAGCAAAGAGAAACATTTCTGGAGATTAAATTATCTGCAGATATCTGCCAGGTGAATCAACCCTACACCTTTCTATTTGGGGAGTGAGTCCTGCTGAATTCAATGGGGTTTAATTCCCATATAAATTCATTAGAGTTACATCCCATGTAGCTCTAATTTAAATTTGATTGGCATGAGCTCAGTGGATTGCCTCTCCTACAAATATTTTGGTCTGAAGGTGCTGCAGTTGTAAATCTGTACAAATCTGAAATCTCTCCTAGTGTACTGTTTTCTGGTACGCACAATATAAACATAAAGTTCAGTACTGGGTCCCATCTTAAAATGCATGCCTGTTTAACTGGAAAAAAGTAAATGTGCTTGCTTTCAAAAGTTTTGCTAGAGTGGGCCGCTGGTCCAGATAGGCGGGATATAAATCAAATAAATAAATAAATAAAACACGAGCAGTTCCAAGAATCCTAGCAGCTGTAGCCTCTTATTTATTTTATTTTTTTATCTTAAATATTTTACCCCACTTTTCTCCTTAAAAAGGACCCAAAGCAGCTTATGTAATTAAAAACACAATATTAAAGTCTAAAAACAGTAAATGATTCAAATATTAAAGAATTAATAACATTATTTTTAAACTGTTAAGCAAAAGCATTGCCGGGGAAAAAAAGATTTAGAAGCCACAAAATATCCATATTGTTTATTGTCTCCTAGATAATCAGCCACTAAGGAAATGTCTACCTGAAGAGAAAGGTCTTTGCCTGCTTGCAGAAGATGACCTCCTGTAGGAGGGAATTCCGGAGAGTGGGAGGAGCAACAAAGAAGGCCCTCTCCTGTCTCCAAAGTGCCATTTATCCAAATAAATTCAAGGAGTCTGGAACCAGAAATATAGTTTTAGAAAAGATAGCCGTGTTGGTCTGTGCAAGCATTATCAGGCAAAATCCATAGAAACCAAACAAAACAAAAAGACAAAAACGAGTGGCACCTTAAAGACTAACTATTATATTTTAATGTAAGCTTTTGTGGACACATCCACTTTGTCAGATATGCGGAAACAGGATGAAATTTACAGTAAAATATAATACTGTACTTAGTCTTTAAGGTGTCATGTGTGTTTGTTTGTTTGTTTGTTTTTTGCTTTGTTTTCCTTTTGTTTCTTTGGATTTTGCCTAATATGGAACCAAAAGAGTTACTTCAAATGTGCCCAAAGGATTGTTATACCCAGTAGGGTGTTTTTGTTTTTTTTTTTTTTTTAAATTATACAGCAGTATCCCATACTTTCTTACCAACTGTTTTGTAACCATTCTCGCTATTTTGTTGACCCCCAAGACTCTCCCAGCCCACATATCCATTACCGTAGCTATATTTCCTGGGGATGTGAAGGTTATACTTAAAATACACACACCACTTTCTGGTGCTTTGCTTTCAAAAGGGGTGAATATCATGAGATTTAGAGAGCTGCTCTTAGAACACAGAGACCCAAAGCATTCAAAGAATGAGCTGGACATGTACCTGTGCAAATGGGATTAATATTAAGTGCTCCAAACACCTTACCCAGCCTTATGCAGGGGTCTTGGGGAATACAAGTCATGGTTGAGGCAAAGTTTGGCACTCGTAATTATGACTAATATTAATGAAACAGCTAAGGTGCAAAATGAAATCAGGAGGGCTCGGGAAAGCACTTAAATATAGCCATATTTTCCTGATTTCATTTTGCACCTTTGCTGGATGCAATACAGTATGTGATTCTGCCCCCTTTCCCCATTTGTAAGCAAAGGCGCTGTCTTTCCTGGTTTTGAAAAAAATAAAGTGAATCCAGGGTGACAAGCTGGAGTGATGCCAAGCACTCTAATTGAGGTAATGCTTCACTACAATTCTAAGCGCCAGGACAACTTCAAGGAGGAGGATGGGACGGGACGGAAAAGTTACTTTTTTGGAGTACAGTTCCCACAATCCCCCAGCCAGTATGGCCCTGCAGAGAGACGCAGGTCCACTGCCACAAGGGCAGCCCGAGTTGTCCTGACACTGGGAAGCAAGGGGTAAGGCATTGGCCCATACACACTGCACAGGGGCAGCCCACACAAATTGCATCTCTGGACTTCATCTGGGTGGCACAAATGCTCCCTTCTGCCCTGCCAGTGAAGGAGACTGCCCTCGACAGCAGGGAGAGAAGACCGCGCCAAGCTCCAGCCCTATGTAAGGGCAGTTGTTTGCTCAGAGCCGAAACATCAAGAGAGGGGTAATAATGAGAGTTATGTGGGCCACGGGATCTTCCACATCCCCCGACTCATAAGAGTCCAAGCTCTGAGGACCACTCAGAGCCAGGCATGAAAAGAAATGGCTGGCTCTTAAAAGCTGCATGCTTGGCACTTCTCCAGAAGACCAGAGGACCTGTGGAGTAGGGTTGGGTGTGTGCGAATTTTCTGCTCCCTGCTCTTGATCACCTGAGGCAGCCACCTCACTCAGCCTCATAGTGGGCTGCAACTCAACTGGCTCACTTCCACTATGGAACAAAGGGGGAGGCGTTTTACTCTCTTTTATTTGAGGGCAGGGCCCTTCACAGCATCTGGGAAGCTGCAGATCCCGTAAACCCAAACCATCCAGCAGTGGCTTTCCATCCAGTTGAGCAGGATGGAGCTTCTTTCCACAGGTGGAGAACGTTGAGGGGAATCACACCCTATTACATTCTTACCCCCATTCTCATGGACAACATATGTGTGTGTCTGTATAGGCGATTGTCATTTAGAAGTATTTTTAATTATTTTTTTAGCAAGCAACAATAAACTCCCATGAAGCACAAAGATATGAGATTATCCAGTGCAAAGAACACAGTAATGGCATCAATGAGGTTTTGGGAAGAGCCTTTTATTTAGTTCATGGAAATATGAAGTTTTGGAGGAACTAGACTAATAAGGAGGACATGAGTTCTATTTATGTGAATGGATTTTTGCTACGTTTGTGAGTCCTGGGTGGAGTGTCATGGGATAGCATTATTGCTGATTATTACAGAGAGAAAAAGTTGTACCATGCGGTGCCGGAAGCCTATGTTCACCTGCCCTTCCATATTTTAATCTGTGTCATTATTTTTCCTGCTAACACACTTTCTTACACAGGTGTCAATGCAGGCTGATGTTTTCTTTTTCTTTCTCTTAGCAAGTGAACAAGAAAAAGGAAAGCAATTCCTTTAATATCAGTTTTAGTATCCAGTAATGCAAATTCAGGTTAAGTGTAAAATATTGTAATGTAAAAGACAACCAGACATGTTACAATGTGGTTGAAATCCTACTGCTTAGTATATTAAGTCACAACTAGAGTAGGCCCATTGATTGGATCAATGGAACTTATGGAGGAGTTGACTCACCAAATTCCCACTGATTCAATGGGCCTACTTTAGTGCAACTTACTGTGCTAAGAAACAGGGTTTCAGCCTCTGAATGTCTGTGGCAACCCCAGACCTACTGGAGTATGCCACCCTGTAATTATGCTGCCACCAACCATTCCCTGTAAGGAGTCACACAGACCAGGAATGGATTTTAATAAATAAAAGAACAAGGTTTATTCAAACAACAAACAGGATAAATAAAAGAATCAGGTAAATAGGATAATGTAACGTGGCATAGCCCCAAACATACACATATAACAGATTGGTTCCCACAGAACCCTTTAAGGTAACGCACAGACCCTGAACCTATCAGTTCTGGCTACCCAGATAGAAACCTGAACCTATCAGGTATGTACTAACTGACACACAGTTGTACCCAGTCTGACACACAGACTCCAACTCCTCACTCTCCACAAAAGCTCCAAATATATATACAGTACAGCTCCTCCCCCCTGATGTCCCGCCTTCTACTCCCATAGGATGGAACTTTCCCTCCAAACCCATGACAGACAGGTACCATCAGTGCTGTATGTGACACCTCCCCTCTTTATAAGTTGTTTTGCAGGGGAAAAGCTAAAGTGCTTTTCTCCAAAAAAAA